GAGAAGAAAGGGGCATGAGGGAGGGTACAATGCCAGGGAGCCTAAAGCCATGTGGTAAGTTCATAGTCTCCAAGTTCAAGCTGCTGTGATTCCCTTTCCTCCACGAGGAGGGGGTGCTCTGCCCAGATGGACAAGGAAGAGGCCTCTGAACTGTCCCCCTCCACCCCCAGTCTCTCAAAGGCTGCCCCCCTTGAGGAAATCAAGGCAGCTAAGCACCCAGGGAGGTTTCTGGAAACACTAAGGTGAGTCACAGTAACTTGGCTCTCCTGCATTTCCCCTTCCCAGGTGAGCACGGCCCCTAGTGAAGGAACAAATCAGCAACTTTCGGAGCTGGACAGACCTTCAGATTGCTGTGGCCTCAGCTCCTCCCACTAGCGGTTTAGCCAAGCCAGGCTTAGCAGGGCCCCTGAGCGAGAGCATCCTCCCTTGCTGGATGGATCCAATGTTCAGGAGTCACTTTTCCTGTGCATCCTGCATGCCCCGCTAGGTCTCCCAGCCCAGGGCCCCACTCAGGTGGAGGGAACCTTCCTGTTTCTTGATCAGGTGGTAGCTTTCACACCTTTCCTCTTCTTGGCCTGTGATCACCACGCTCAGTGGGCACCAGGCCTGCCAGATAGTCCAGGGGCCTGGGCTGCTTCTGGGGAAGCAGTGGGACCTCTTGGGGGGAGCAGGGCTTGAGCCCTGGCCCAGGAGGACCAGACAGCTCCCAGATCCCCCAGGCATGGCCCCTTGCTGAGAGCGGCTGAGCTCTGGGGATGAGGGGGCACTGGGCAGCCCGCCTACTGTCTCCTCCTCATGACTTCCCTTCCTCCTCCTCCCAGGAGCCTCCTTGCCGGCCAACTGTACTAAAACTCCGGAAAGCCATGGCGGGGAGGTTTTCCAATTAGAACATTCTTTTTCCGATCTGTGGATGATTCTTAAAACAGCAAAAAGCCATTCTTCAGGGCATGTGGGGATTATCTGCCAGCGAGGCCTTGGCTCAGCTCATGCACTCGTGCTCTGGAGGCCTGGCCCGGGGCTGCTTCACAGCCAGAGACAAAACGCAGTCTGCGTTCCGGGCATCAGGTCACAGAGGCCAAGACCAATGGCTGAGTGTTTCCTGGGCTTCTTCAAAGTAGTAGTTTTAAAAGGCAGAGGGGGAGTTCAGCCTGCAGGGGTGGGAGATGTGCACGTGGCCAAGGAGGCCTGCCTGTACAATCTCTCTGCTCCCAGAGGTGGGGGCACCGTCCACAGGGCAGGAACTGCTTGGGCGTGGATTCCACACCATGGACCTGAACTGGTCTGTCTTCCCCACGAGATCAGGAGCTACTTCAGGGTCTGATTGGTCTCTGGGTGGGTGTGGCAGTGTGGTAGGGAAAGGAGGTCCTAAAGGGGGCATTTGATGAGTAAGAATAAGTGTGTATGTCACACACTGGAGGGGCCCAGCCCCTAAGCCGGCAGTGCAGGTCGAGGGCAGTGCAGGGGCCTCACAGGCAATACCCGGCAGGTGGGGTCTTGCTCCCAGCCACGTGGAGAGCTGGTTACAGACTCAGAGGCTGGGCCTGCAGGTATGGGGCTCCATAGGGGCCACTGTGGCTACAACCGTGCCTGGGGACCCCTGTCATAAGGGGACCCACCCTGCTTGGAGCCAGTGGAGTCACCCAACAAGTGGAAACTGGTCAAAGAGCTTAGGAGGATGAGGTGTCAGGGCAGGCCCTAGAAAGAGGGAGGGCAGGGGGGATTAGGGTGCAAACAGGAGCCCAGCCCTCCTCACATGTGAACCTAAGAACACCAACTGGATGGGGGTTCCATCCACAGCAACCGGAGCCCCGGCTTTAGTCCTATTTCTGCCTCAGAATGGCTGTGTGGTCCCTGTGGGCTATGGTCCATCCCTCTCTGGACCTGTTTCCCCATCTGCATCATGGCAGGTTTGGATCCGGCATGGGTCTCCAGTCCCCTCCGGTGTGAGGACACTCTGCCTGGGCTGGTTTTGGTTGTTTTCAGGCTCAACCTCAGCCTGAAAACTGTCAGGCCCTACCCATCATACCCCTCCCTAACCTGGGAAATTTTGGTCTAGACTGGCTTGCCTGGGTTCTGTTCCCAGCCCTGGAGACTTGAATGGGGCCTTCCTGGAGCCGATGAGCCCTGCTGGCCACTTCCTTCCAGACTGCCGTCTGTCCCCCTGTCATCTGCTTGCTTCCCAAAGAACTCACCTCCATTCCCTGCTCCTGGTTCATGGCTCCCCTCAGCATAGGGGGTCACCACTTGCCCACTGCTGCTTCTTCCAGGCAGTCCAGCCTGGCTGCACCCTCCAGCCCATCAGAGTTAGAGGCAGCACTTTTACCCTCAGAGCAAAGCCTTGTTGTGGGGAGACTACTTGAGTTGGGGGGATTCCAGGAGGACACTGCCAGAGCCTGGAGGGCTGGTCAGCCTTGCAGCTAGAGATGATGGTCAAGGCACAAGAGGAGCTGAGAGTAGAAAGGGACAGGGCCAAGCTCAGGCCAGGCAGGGGTAGAGCCCAGTCTGGGGGAAACCAGCAGCCACCAGAGTCTTGGCCCTCCAGCTCTAATCCGAGGGGAAGTTCACGAAGGACCCAGTGTTCTAGCTAAGAACGGATGGCAGTTCACCAGCAAGAAGACATCTTGTGCAGGGCCCTGGTGGGACAAGAGCACTCGGTGTGTCTGGGTCCACATGCCCGAGAGCAAGGAGTCAAAGAGGAAGCCGATGAAGTTGGCAAGGGCCTCGAAGCCTGGCTGAGGTGGCTGGGGGTGGCCCTGGCAGGGGTGGGGGGGGCTCTGTTGGGGCAGTGAGTAGGTGGGCAGGGCAGGGCAAGGTAGGGCAAGGCAGCCACCTTTCGAGTCAAACTCGTTTGCAGGCAAGATCAGCTGCAGGGCCTGGCAACCTGGCAGGGAGGGAGGAGTTAAGGAAAGGCCAATCCCTCTGAATGGTGCTGTTATGGAGGAACTGACCCAGTGGGGGCTGAATCACCTGGTATGTGGGAAGAGCTGTGAGGCCCTGGGGCAACGCAGCCCCAGGCAGCCCTTGCTCCCTGGCCATTGTTGGCTTTGGATACCACTCTCGCTTGTGCTCTCTGGAGTGAGCTTGCCATTTCCTACGGGTGGCCTTCGAGAGGGGGGCCACCCTCTTTCTCATCCTTATGTCTACTGCATCTCTGTGACCTCTACCTTCTACCTCTTTAAGTAAGGGGCTCTGGAAGGGTAAGGGGGCCCAGAGAAGGGGGAGACATATCCAAGGACATATAGTGAGTATCATCTTTAGGAGCTAGGATGCCAAGTCAAATCCACGGTGACCAGCAACCTGAGATCAGGAGTGGGTAAGTGTTAGATGCTGGTCCCCAGACTGGAAGCAGAGAAACGTTTGTTGGCAAGAGACACAGGTGAGCTGAAGTGACTTTATACTTTAGATATAATCCCTAGTCCCACACCCCACACATATATTCACTCAGATAAAGGGCTGCTTGCTTTCTACCTGATAAAGCCCGAGAAGAGCAAGGACAGCTTCCTGAGTGTCGATCACCTCCCAATCTTCCCCAACCCCCCATGTTGGTTTCCATGTCCCAGTGATGACTCAGACAGGGCCCTTCCCTCCCCAAGCTCACCATCTAGAACAATAAAAGGTGACAGCCACTATATTTGATTGATGCAGTCAGAGGGAACTGGGGGAGCACAGACAAGGAAGTGTTCTACTTGCCTGGGTGACCCGTGCAGTCAGGAGAGAATTTACAAACACTTGAGGAAAGTTTTGAACAATGACTAAGAGCTCACTAAGCAGACAAGGGGACAAAAGACATTCTAGGGAGTCTGAGCACCAGGAGTAAAAGCGTCAAGGAGACAGGATGTATTCAGAAAGCAGAAGGAGGTGAGTGTGTCTGGAACATATTGAACCAAGGGAAGAGAGTGGCTGGGTCTGCAGCCAAATCCTTGAGCCCCTTAAAGTGGTTGCCTTTGATCTTGATAGCGATGGGAAGCCATCAAAGGCTACAGGCAGCTTTGGAGCCATGTGCAAAATCCTCAACTGACTTCTGTGTGGAGACTGGATGGAGAGGAAGGCAAGACCAGAGGCAGGGAAAGCAATGAGGAGGCTGGTCCCATAGCCCAGGCTTGGACTAGGGTGGCCGCAGTAGGCGTGGAGAGAAACGGATGGATTGGAGGACCCTTGGGACCTAGAGTCTTCAGAGTTTGTTGAAGGAGAACCAGTAGCTCCATGGTTTGGATGCTCTCATCCTCATAGGCCATCTCCTGGCCAATTCTGTGTAGTCTCTTAGAGAGAGAAGCCCCACAGGTAAGGGTAGGGGCTTCATCTGACACTCAGTCCATCCTAGCCCCTAGCCCAGTGCCTTCACTGTCACCAGTACTCAGCAAGCATAACAATGACACAAGTACTCAAAAAGCAGGAATGAATGAATGACACTCATGAAACCGCACTGGACCTTGGGATCTGGCTGTGTTCCCCCACTGAGTTTGCGGGGGTGCCCTGGCTAGGCGAACAGGGTGTTTGCTGCAGTGCCTTTGGAACCCCAAGTTTCCCAGGAGGATTTCCCAGCGTGAGAACTCAGGCGCCGCCGGGTAGTAGGCTCTCTGCCTTTCTTCTCCTTCCCAGCCTCGGGGACTTCCTGCATGAACTGAGCCGACAGCCCCCAGTCCCCCCCCCCCCCCACCCCACCCCCGTCTGGTATCTCCATCTGTAAAATGGATCTAGGAACAGTAGCTCTCCACAAAATGAACCGGCAGCATCTGTGGAAGTCATCGCTCCGAACCGGGGCCAGATCGGGCCGGGCGCGGGCTGAGGCACAACTGGGCAGCCCGGGCCCTTCACGTGGCGGCGGCCTCCCAGCCCGGGGGCCGCGAGCCTAGAGGAATTTGCCTGGAAGTTTTCCACCGCGGCCGAGCCTTCGGGAGCTCGCTCTGGGCTCGGTGCGGAGAGCCCCGGCCTTGATTTCTCCAGCGGCCCCGGGGGCGGGGCCGGGAAGCTGCCGGCGGGCCGAGGACCCTGGCGGGGGAATGTCCGGAATGTGCCAGGCGCATCTACCTACCCCAGGAGAGGGCAGAGGAAGGGGGCCGGCCGAGAGGAGGGGCGAGGGGCGAGGCTCTGGGCGCAGGAGAAAACCTGTTTGTTCTCCTGCGGGCAGAGCCCAGTCCGCGCCTCCTCGCCGGCCCGCGCGCTCCCCACCGCGCCCCGCGTCCCGCGTCCGCTCCCCAGCCCGGCCCGGCCGGCGCTGCCCACCGGAGGGAGCCCGCGCCCCGCGCCCGCCGGACCCTACGCCCCTCCCGCGAGCCGGGCACCTGTGCCAGGTAGGGCTGTCGAGTCGCCGCCTGCCATCGGCGCGGCTGGCGGAGTCCGCGGTGGAGGGGAACTCGGGCAGAGCCCAGCCGGATGACAGTGACGACTCGGGGCCTCAGTTTCCCCACCCATAATCTTCACTCTAATTGCTTCTGCCGGCTGAGGGACGATACTTAGTTTTCTGATTTCGCTGTGAGTGAAGAGACTAAGAAGAGAGGCACTTAAGGCTGGCCCGGCCCACCATCTTTATGCTAGAGAGGGTGTGATTGTTAGTAAATGGCCTAGGGCCAGGGTGCTCTGCGAGTTGATTGCGGGCCTCGGGAATAAGGGAATCTGAGATCAGCTAGTTCTGCCTGTGTCCATTTTGTGGATGAGAAAACCAAGACCCAGAGTCTGGCTCACCCTGTCGCCCAGACCAGGAGGCTCACCAGTTACTTGTGATGAGCGTGTGCTGGGCACCAGGCAGTCTCCTGAAAGGCCACTGGGAAGATAGCTGCTCAGACAGAAGGCGCCAAATCAAGTGCCGCTGGGTGTTATCAACAGGATCTGCCATGAGCAGGCTCTGTGGCTGGATTGTTTCAGGGGCAGGGGAGCCAAGAGCCTTGTCCTCTTTGGAAAGGCACAGTGATACCTCTGCCTTGGAAAGAGACTAAAAGCTCAACTCCTCTGCCTACTTTGCTATTTCTGAGCAGGGGGTGTCCAAGAGGGTAAGACACTTGGTTGCCTCCCACCCAGGGCTGCTGGGGGCTCACATGAGGTCGGTTGTGGGTGTGCCAGGGCTTTGCAATAGAAACTGTGCTCACGCTGAGCCATTTGCACTTGGTCTTCAGACTGTGGAAGGCCACACAGCCACATCTCAGGACCACTCAGCAAACCCTGAGAGACAGCCCCTCACAACCCACCCAGAGGTGGTCCAGACCCCTGGCACCTGGTCCCAGTCCTGCCTGGGCCTCATGGCCTTGTGGACTAATGATCGTGGTCCCTGGCTGGGAACAGAAAACAGGGCCCCATGGGCCAATAGGCCTGGACAGTTGGGAGGAGCTCTACGTTCCCACTCATCATTACCAGCTCACTTAGAGCTGTGGTGGAAGGTGGAGGTGGAATAGTACCCTACCTTCCCAGGGTCTCCACTGCCTCATTTGAAAAATCAGGGGCAACTCAGAGACCAGCTCAGAGGCCCTGCTTATTGCTTTAAAGCAAGGGGCCAGGACATAGATGCACAGACCAGGAGCCAGCTTGCAGGTTGGCCCTGGTACTTGTGCTGTTCACCTCATCACCCCTGGACCACCCCAGGATGGGAAGGAGCAGAACCATCTCACCTGCCCTACCCCCACTGTCCATCAGTTCCCAGACCTAGCCCTTGTGCCTTCAGAAGCCAGGACCTCGCTGGGGCCTCTGTACTCAACTGTGGGGAGCTGATATGAGGCTCCCAGCACAGGGCCAGGCACATAGCAAGTGCTCAGATCTGTTCTTTTTTACCCTCTGGACACACACAACTCAGTGACAGAGGTGGACCACGACCACACTGAGGGCTGCCTCCCTGAGTAGCATTAGCACAAGGGGCTGTGGGAGCCTGGGATGGGGGAACAGGCCTGGCTGGGAGGATCAGAAAATACTTCCTGGAGGAGGAGGACTTGGAAGCAGCAGAAGGAGCTCAGGAACTGCCCGGCCAAGGCCCACGCATTCTTCTTTGAAATTGTCCACCTCCCTTCCTTCTCATTTCGAGCCAGATTCCAGACGGAGTGTCCCAACCTGAGGGCACTGATCCCAGGAGCAGCCAGTGCTTCACCTCAGCCTCCAGCCTGCCTTGCACTTCTGCTTAGCACCCCTGTGGTCTAAGATTCAGCAGGACAGAGAGTCTGGGCCCCCAGCAGCGGGCCTGGGACCTGCCCATGGTAGGCATCGGCACCTGATCCCCGAACTGCCCTCAGTTGATGCCAAGAAAAATTTCAAATCTGGCCCAGTGAACTCTGGAAGCTGGAAGCCTGCTGTCTCCCTTCCCCACTCAGCCTCCATGGCTGACTGATCCCTTTGGACTGGATCTTGCTTCAGGCCACAGCTCATAAGGTGCCAGCTCATGCGTAATACCCGCTTGCTTTCTGCTTGCTGAATGAGGCTGCCTCAACTGCCAGCCCCTGCCCCTGGCATCAGACAGGAGTGTGGTTGAGGGAGAGAAAAGCTGCTTTCCATGGCTCCAGAGTCCTGAGCAGCAATCCATATGGCACCCCAGGTCTTTGGGTCCTGAAGTTTGGGATCCATCAGGGGTTCTGCATTCCTTCCTGCTGCACTTGCAGAGAGCTGACTGATGCCAGGATAAGGGCAGTCACCAGAGACCCGCGTGCCTTAAAGTGACCCTCAGAAGAGGTTGACTGGTGGTCATAACGTGTGTGATGGGACATGCAGGCACCTTTACAGTCGAGTGGTAGAAAAGTGGCTGGGAGACCAGACAGGGTTAAGACCCCAACTTGGCCACAGTCTAGTTGTGCAAACCTGAGCACATCGTGAAAGCTCTGGAGGCCCCGTGTCACCTGTCCAGAAGAGAGGATGAAGCCAGGAGCGCTGTGCTTTCAGGGCTGTCAGTGGATCCAGGGTCGCCATATCCTCCTCCAGGAGCCATGGTCACCAGGAGTGAGGTTGAAGCCAGGTTGGAAGGGATATGGCCTCCCTACCCGAAGAGAAACCATTTAAAATCCCTGCCAGTCTATGCCAACGATGGACATATTGTGTCTACTCACAGTTAAGTGATTTGCCACAGTACACTTCATTCTTGGTCATTTCTGGATGCCTACTAACTATCATTTGATTTGCTTTCTTTGACAATTTTCACTCTTGAGTTTTTAACTTTTATCTTGGAGTAATCAAAAGCTCACAGAAAAGTGATAAGAATGGTACCAAGATCCCCCGTATCTGGATCCCCCACTGTGAACATTTCTGGTCATTTTCTTCAGGAAGGGGGATGCTAATGTGGGAACACTTGTGTGACTGTCACCTTCCAGGGGCCATAGCAGGGTCAGGAGGTGGGACTGGCTGGACAATGAAAGGACCAGTGGCCCAGGGGGTGTCATTCTCAAACTCCATAAGGAATTAGGGGAGCCAGAACCTGCAAGTTAAGCACACGTCCCGGGAGACCTAGATGCCAGAGGGACCTAGAGGCCACTTTCAGAAACACTCCCTAGGCTTTCCTGTGGGGAGGGTGCTCACAAACCACTGCAAGAGGTGGTGGCAGCCAAGGTGGCTCTGTGGCTCTGTGGCCACAGCCTGGGTCTAAGAGGAGGCCTGACCTCTGGGAGCAATGGTGGGTAGGCCCCCCACCACTGCTGGTTGTTGTCCCTGGCAGTCCCTGGCTGCATCGTGGGCACACCGTGGGTGCTCTGTGTGGCCCCTTGCTCTGGTCCCCAGGATTGTTGGCTCAGCATGTGGCTTTCTGATGACTCGGTCAGTTTCCCACTGAGCAGGCCTGAGGATTCCTACCACCAGAATGGGTATCCCGGGTACAAATGCTCACATCAGGCAGCGCCTGGTTTAAGACTGAAACAAAACAAAACGCAAAACCAGGACTTGCCTCATTACTTCTGCCCAGTGAGCTCCTACTCATTCTTTCATTTTTTTTCAGAAAGACCCGAGCCAAAGGCACCTTCTTGGGAAACGCAGTGCTGCTCTAGGCCCCTGTCTGTCTGTCTGCCCAGCACCGGGTCAGGCTTCAACTTTCTGAAAAGCCTTATGGGACAGATGAAAATGTGGCCATAAATGAAAATGTGGGAAGTCAGGATCTGCAGTGCACAAGAGTGAGGAAGGAGGGGGCTGGGAAGGCAGATGGCAGCCTCACTCGTGATCTCCCATGACCAGAGGCAAGTGGAGAGGACTTCCCTGTCACTGGACCTGCTCTAGCAGAGGCTGAATGGGTGGCAGGAGTAAGGGTGAGGGGTGTTCCTGGGGTGGAGAGAGTTGGTTGGGGTGGAAATGGGCTCTGATGACCCCTGGGTCCCTTTCAACCCCCTTGACTATCTGTGGGCCCCACTGGAATGAACTGAAGACCTGGAGTGTGTGCTGGGAGGCTCAGCAGGGGAGGTGGCCACACTGGGGATAGCTCTTGTCAGTGACTCTGGCAAAGGGTCCCTGGCATGTTGACTCTGCCCAGCGCCCTGGCCTCCACAGAGACATCTCAGAGGGTCCTGCCCAGAATCCCTTGCTGGCCCTTGAGGCCAAGCCACCTCTGCAATAGTCCAGTTGCCCAAAGCAGCTGCTTATATCCAGCCTGCTGAGAGCTAGAAAAGGGGCACAGAAGTGATGGGTGGCCAGGTGGCTGTGTCCTACTGGGGCTTGAACTCCCCACCTCCTGGAGGGAGCTGGCCAGCCTCAGACATCTGCCTCCCCAGGCCCTTCTAGTGCTGACGCCAAGAAGTCTAGATTCTGGGGTGTTGAGGGGTGGGATGAGGGGAGGTAAAATTCCAGACTTTCATGCAGAAGTCATTTACCTGTAAAGCACATTTACAAATATTCCCCCCAGTCCATGTATTTTTTTTCCATATTACATTTTCCCCCTCTGCAACCCAAGTCTCCTCCAGCTATTTTTTCCACGTGGTGTGCCTCCTTCCTACTACCCCTTGGCTTCCAGGCCTGAGGCCTAGGATGGGAGCATCACGGGCTGGCAAGGCGCTCCGCTCTGCTGCTCGCACAGGGCAAAGAGGCTGGCCAGGGCTCCTGGGAGCTGTGTGCTGCTTAGCTGACTGAGGGGCTTGGACATGACCCAGCTGCTCAGCCATCAATCTGGAAGGCCTCTGAGGGGCCCCTTCCTCCTGAACTGCTGCTGAGAATCTCTGGATCCCAGGAACCCCTGGAGGAAAACAACCTCTCTGCTGACTGTCCTCTCGCCAGCTGCTGTAACTGGGAATCAGGATGTCCTCGTTCCTGAGAGCTGGTCTCAGGAGACTGTCTCACAAAATGGGATGTTTGATAGTTCCAGCCCTTTTGGCCTGGGGAATCAGGTCAGCTGACCCAGTGGCAGCTTAAG